AAAAAAAAAAAAAAAAAAAAAAGGATGGCCAGAATGCCGCCCCCTGCAAATGTGCTGCCCCAAGCACCTGCTTGATTTGCTGGTGCCTAGAGCCAGCCCTGAGTCTGACTACAAGATCCATCATACTGGCCCTTCTGGCCTTTGCATCTGTGGATCTGTGAAGGCACCAGGGAAGGGGCTGCTGGGGAAGGGGCTGTGTTGGTGCAGTATCTGCCACCTGTGTTTCACACCCTAGAACAGAAATCGAGTCTTGACCTGGGGAGGCAGTGTGGCCTAGTGGATACAGCACTAGACTGGGACTCTGGCGATCTGGCTTTTATTCCTGGCTGTGCCGTTCCGTGCCTCAGTTTCCCCTTCTATAAAATGGGGATGATGATATTGACTCCTCTGTGCAGCATTTAAGATTTGACAAAAAAAGCCATACCAGAGCTAGGGATTATTATTACAAATGCGATCGCGCAGAGCCCCATGGACCTCTCTGGGTCAGGAGCAGACCGTGAGTGGGTCTGATTCACTCCCAACTTACCCGTGGCAAAAGCTTGGGCTGCAGACCCCCTGCTGGCAGAAATTACACCTTGAAAGACTTCCCAGTGGTGCAAAGTGCCCACAGCAGCCAACAGCCCCTGTGAGCTGTTCCCCCCCAACATGGTCCCCCAAAGAAGAGATGTAACATCCATCCCCCTTGGCCTGTCCTGGGGGATGATTGCCTCTGTGGGCACAGCTGTCCCTGCTGGCACAGGGGATACAAACTGAACCCACCCTGCACCAGTGCCGAGCTAAAAGGGTCCTTGTGCAGCCGAGCAGCTCTGACAATGACACTAGGCCGCCCCAAGGCCGATCAGCTGGCCTTTGCTCCACAGCTAACCCCCACGCTGGCCAGATACTCACAGTCTCGGTGTTACAGCCGGTCGCTTTCACTCCAGAACACAGAGCCATGGCTGCCTTCTCATTATTAAACACACGGAACTGGATGTAGCCAGCGATGAATTCAGCTGGTGACAGAAAAGGGCAGGTCAGGACCATTGTTTGCCATGGAGAGGCAGAGAGAAGGGACAGAGCTCTGATCCCAGCTGGTCCCGTTGAACTGGGAATGACCGGGGACTAAGGATCAGGAACTCCAGTCCCACAAATGATCAGGAACTGTGAGGCTCAGCTGGGCTGTTCACAGATCTGTTACTGTCATGGCATCTTTAAATTCCTAAGAGCTGGTTTGTGTGCAGTTGCCATGTAGCATGTTAAAGTGGGGAACACACCGTGCGCTCTCCTGGGGATTTTCCATTTGCTCTCTCTTGTTTCATCGTTTTCCCTTTCTCTAAATGAGTGATGTTTTTACTATGTTAATAACCAACTAAGTTATTAACTTATTTGCTGTGAGAATAATAAATATATCTATAAACTAAATATTTCCCGTCATGCTGTTTAAATATGACTAGTACAATAGTAAATGAAACAATGAATTCACGCTCCTGTGGCTCTTTTGGGTAATGCTGATCGCTAATTTGCCTCCTGGACCACTGAGGTTTGAGTAGCACTGCTCTAAAACGAAGATTGTTCAGACTGAAACGACAGGCCCAGGGCTTAAATTCAGAGGGAGCTGTCTGGAGCGGAGCCCTGGTAAATGTTTTCTGACCTCCTGGAGTTTTTATAGCATGTTGGGGGCAGAAACACTGGGGAGCTACGGGAAATACTCTATGAGAATTTAGTGCAGGTGGAGAGGCAGAACCCGCACGCTCACTGCAGACTTACTTCGGCTGTTTGGAGCGTAATAGTTGGTGGTTTGCTGGGCATCGCCATAGTCGTAGATGATGGGCACGGCGGGGCCATTGTTGGTCTTGCAGACGCCAGCGCCGTATTTCACTGGGTATTTCTGGGAGACAAACGCAGTGAGAATCCAGTGTTAGTTTCCATCCCTATGGCAGGGCAGCTCCAGCACAGACAAGGCAGCCTTGACTGACACATGCTCGCTGGGTGATTAGTTCAGTCAGTCACACAGGCCAGCCCTAGGGCACAGCAGTGATCCCAGCAGTGGGCAGGGAAATCTGGCATGTCAAGGTGCCCCTTGGGGTGGATTTATCACAGACTGTTTGGGGCAGGGACTGTTTTTCTGTTCTGGGTCCGTGCAGCACCTAGCACCGTGGGGCCCTGGTCTGCGGGGGGAGGGGAGGAGGGTGTTCACTAGGAGCTGGCACAATGCGGGCAGTAAATGATAATAGGTGAGAATCAGCATGTGTCCAGCACCACTGCCCGCTGCCCTGGCACTGAGGAGATGCCACTGCTAGGACACTGAACCCCAAAGCTGGGTCTCAAGGGTGGGTCAAGGGCTTGGCCTAGCACCAAAGCACCTTTGTCCAATGGCCCCGCCCATCTCCAGGGCATGAGGTGGGGTCAGTCTCTGGGGCCCATTCAGCCCCTCTGCTGAGTCTGCCAGCAGGTCAGAGACAAGGGGGGTGGCTGGTTCGGGATGTGAACACCAGCAAGTGGCTGAGACCAGCCAGCTCACCTCACACCAAGGTCATGGTCAGATTCCAATGCGTCGAGGGGAAGGCTCCTTGTCCCATGATCAACCTCTGGCCCCCCAGCATGGAGCATTTGTAGCATGTTGAGGATTTGCCCAACTCAGTTTCTCCATCTACACTGGGGTCAGCAGAGCCACCCGGTCCCTCCTGCACACGCCCCTCCAAAGCCCCCAGCTCCGTGCCATCACCTGGTAGAGTTTGAAGAGGTTACCCCTCTCTGAGGACAGGAAGCCGCTCTCGGTGTGGTACCTCAGGATGGACCTGTTCTTCCATTCCTTCAGGGGTGTCTTGTTGGTTACGTGCCACACGGACAGGTCCTGAGCTTGCAGATCATAATAACCAGGGTTCTGAAAAGCGAGGACCCAGCTGAAACTTCTTAACCACATCCCTGGTACTTACCC